TTGAGAAAATGCCGTAGAAGATTTAGAGGGCTCCCCTTATCCCGTTTGTCTCCATGACATGCACTCTGCTGGGTGTAAGAGCTTTGTGATGCCTCGGGCAAGTCCTTCAACCCCCTGGGCCTCAGTTTCCTCAGATGTAAAAAAATGATTAAGCCTGTAGTTTCCAAGCCTGGCTGCACATCAGAATTATGTGAGGAGTGATTCCTAGTTACAACTCCAGACCAACTGAGTCAAATTATCTGGGGATGGGACCTGGAGTGAGTCTGTAACCAAATATCTGTTAAGGCATCTGTTACCTGCATATCCCCAAGGGCTCTCACTTTATAAGATATCCCTCTACTCAGAAATTCAATTAATGAGAAGCATAGCACCACTCCAACCCAATGGCCAAGATATTGGCCAGTGTTTTGGGGGATTCTCACAGGGGCTTAGATTACTCCTGGGTGTATCTTGCTCCAATCTCTAGCATCTACTGCATTCTCTACCTTAGTCTGTTCTCTTCTTTCCTCCCAGTGCCAGACCAAACTGGAACCAAGACCACCCTTTAGGATTAAAACTGTCTCTAGCTATGGCAGCAAGAGAGGAACATTCCATAACAGCCCAGCAATTCTACACCTTCCTATTCTTAAAGGTCACCCTGACCTGGCCACTCACTGGGAATTCCCCTTCTCCTCAGGCCCCAAATTTCTGCCGTCTCATTCTTCTCCTCCCGAGCAGTGAATGCTTAATTCCCCCCAAGTTCTGTTCATTTCTCCAGCAAATCAGTTTGCTCCCCATAACACACATGGATGACTGAAAGTCTAAGCCAACCGTGGCATATCTCAAAATGCGCTAAGGATCACGTTAAACAAAAGGTCTTTTAGGAGCACAAGCACTGATAGAAGCTTCAAAATACTTTCTCGTGAACAGAATCGAATGATTCAGCTTGGCTCCCACCCACCAGTCTGCTCCTTCCCCTAACCAGCAAAGAGTAACAGCAAGGTTACCATTACCCTCCGTTGATATGAATTCTGTTGCTCCCTGAGAAGATGGAAGTAGCAGCAGTCAGCATTTTCTTTCAACAGCAAATTTATTTCCCTGTTCCTTGCATGTTTCACAAGCTCCCCAAGTGACAGGGCTGCCAGTCTGCATTTGGAAACCACTGGACCAGGTGAGTTGTAGTGTTACTTTCAGCTTTAAAATTTTCTCTCTCTGAAAACAAAAGTGCTTCTGCACTAGGGGGTGTGATGGATTTCAGAGTTAGCCAAACCATGATTCAAACCCCAGCTCCGCCACTAACTAGCTGGGTGACCTTGGGCAAGTTACTTAAAGTCTCTGAGCCTTGGCTTACACATTTGCAGAAAGATAATAATACCAAGTTCTCGGAACTGTGTTAGGTAACGCATGTGACAGGAACTGTTAATAACTGATAGTTTTCGTCGTCTCAGCATATGGTAGTAGCCTTACATGAGTTTAGGGAGTTGGACAAGGCTTATGTGGGATGGGCCTTCTCTCTGCAAATACCTTTCCTCCTGGGCCTCATAAAGGCATGCAATGAGCCTAGAACCTTCACTAAAGATTCTTCCAGAGGGCAGCCAGCCACCCCACTACCTCTATGGGCAACCCATGAAAGTACAGCCTGCTCCTTTGATGGCTACTACATTAACTGGTGCTCATAATGTTGCAGTGTCAACATCCAATTTCAGGACAAGGGCAAGTTTAACTCTAAAGGACTGGACACGAGCCCTGGACATGAGGCTGGGGAGCAGTGATGTTGCTGGCCTGGGTAACCTTCAGGCACCACGAAATGAGGGAGCTCCACACTTACAGGAAACAAGGATATTGTATATTTCTGAATGCTGCTGTTCTCCTGGGCACTTCTACAGCACACGCTTTGGATCCCGTCTTCCGGTCACACTGTGAACTCTTCGAGGGCAGAGAAGGGGTCTTTAGCATCTTTTACCTGCTGTGCCTAACAGCACGACAACAACTGACAAATAAGTGAATGCATTAATTAATGGATGGACAGACCAGGGAGTTCCAGACTATGTAAACTGCCTGAGTGGTTATTTCACATAATGTGCTTTCAAAATTCCCTGAAAACAAAAGCCTTTATTTCAAGAACTAATTCTGAAAAGCAGAAAAGATGCTTCCCAGTGCAAAGGCGACTCCATCAAAACTGTCAAGTGCAATGACGCATTAAACTAATTCATTCAATCCTTCATTCATTCAACAAACACTTACTGAATCTTCATTATATGCCAGGCACTATGCCAAGAGCTAGAGACAAGAATTAAAATAAGATGTGTTGCCTCGAGGGGCTGGGCATCGATCACTTTTTAAAACACTTTCTTTGTGGTCTAATGTGCAGCCAGGGTGGAGAGGGGCTGCCCAGGACGGCCGTCTGCTCCCCACCCAGAGCCTGCACAGTAATTGAGGGTGCACCCACCCACTCCTCTTTTCTCCTCCCAATCTCCCAGTTTCTGCCTTTTTCTCCCCCCGCCAGTCAAAATCTCAGACTGAATTATTTATTGCTTTTTGTGACTACTGAATAATGTTCCTGTTCCTTATGGTTACCTTAAAAAATAAAAAGAAAAGAATAAAATGAAATAGAATATTTTAGATTTGGCCCTTTCAAAAACAAAACCATAAAATGTATTTATTTTAAACTGAAAGCTCATCAACCCAATACATAATTATTAAATGCACATTATATTTAGGACAACTTGGAACTCAAAGGCAATAGAAACAGTCCCAACCTTCTGTCTAAACTTTGGTCCTAAATTGACATTTTTTTCTATGGGTAAATAGTTCTCAGGGGAAAAAAGGTGCTAGTCACTCTTCTAAGTGTTGTCTTTTTAGTACTGAGAAAAGCCTCACAAGAAGAAAGATGTGCCCACAGGCCCAGCACTATCTGACATACAGCATCTCTAAGCCCAGATTCCAGAGGCTTGACTTCCACTCCATTCCACAAGGACTAACTGATTCTGCACAGTCACTAGGGGGACCAATGGTCCCACTTTGCCCAGGATTGAGGGGTCAGCAGAGTCTCTGGCAAAGCAAGACTACTGGTCACCCTGGCAATCACCTCTCCTCTCACTACCAAAGTTCTTCTCTCAGAACTAAAGATACTTAGAGTGAAACCTGGACATAAATCATATTGCAAATTCAAAGACTGCACTGTAATATGGATTATTCCACAGGCTTCATGCCAGTGGTGATATATACCATTTTTGCTGGTGTGCAAGATGTGCATTGTTCTTGGTCTTGCACCTCAAAATATTCCTGTTGGAGACAGACTCTGACAGATTTTAGGTACCTACATCCCCTCCCCCCCCACTCACCATCTAATATTCCTCCTGGGACAGCAAAGTAGGGTTGCCGCAAGATTTCCTGGTTAAATTGGGGTGAACCTCATACATTGGCTCAAACACGCAATGTCGTAACTTCCATTATCTCACATGAGAGCCAGAGTTTAGGTTCTAGCACTCTCCCCAGCACCAGTTTAGGGGACAAGAGCACTTCACATTTCACTATCCTAACAGAAGCACCAGCAAGACCCCTCATGGAAAGACCAACGGCCAACAGTTTTCTTGCGCCTGCCCTGGATTCAGATCTCAGCTTTACCACAAACTGTGACTGTGGGGCAGTTAGCAAACATCTCCTGATTCTGTTTCTTCATCTGTAACAGGAGATTAAATCCTACCTGCAAAGTTCGGAACGAAGGCTGGAAATCAAACCCCAAACCAAAACCTTCCAAGTGCCCGACATAGCGGACAAATTGAACATGTTATAATGCTCAAATGTCAAACAAGTAAAACCTGAAGCTTGTGCACATTTGTTACAACACACACAGAAACACACACACACTTCAAAATGGCAAGTCTCTACTGACACACAAAAAAAGCAATTCTTCTGTTCAGAAATATTTTCTTTATATAGAAACACAGTATTCATTAAGAAACTTATTTTTTTACCATCTGATTTGAAAAAATTCTCTCCTCCCAAGGCATTTGATTGAGGGCACACCATTATAGCATATATTTTATTATCAGTATTATAATTTTCCACAACAATTAATACCACGTTTCCTTTTCCCACAGAGAATCCTACCCAATAGAAGTCCCCAAAAGGAACCACAGCACATTCATAACAAAGATTGAAAAGTAAACCATCTTTCTTTCAATTTCTGCTTTCCAATATGATGATTCAACTAAAACAAGTTGGATTTAATCAGCTATGAAATCGGGAAAATGAAAACCAGCCTGTGTGTACATCATGATTGTGACCATCTCTGTGAAATGAGGGGAGAAAAGAGAGAAATGTCTGCTGTTTCTTACAAACTTCAGTTTAAATTACTTTTTTAAAAAATTTCTGTAAAAGACATTTCACTGCCTTTGATGGTGTGAACATTTGGGTGTTTTCTCAGGATCAGCCGTGGGCAGGCAGATGGTGCATATGAAATGGAAGACATTTGGACAACAGTGGCCCCACCTAGACTCCTGGTATGGGTACAGGAGACTTGCTGATTTCCAACCTTGGCTCAGTTCAGAAGGAAAAAGGCAAGAGTTACATCCCTGGAAAATAACGCAGCCTACTTTAGGGCCTGCCTGCCTCTCAGTCCCCTCAAGTGTTCATGGTTTGTCCTCCTGGTTCGTAGAGTTTTTGGTACCCTGAAAACCTCCCTCCATGCTCCCTCTCCTCCACGGTCTTCAGAGTGTAGTTATTGTGTTTGAAAACAGCAATGCCACAAGTCAAAGGATTTGGGGCTTCCAGAGGAACGACCATTTCTGGGTATGTTCTGGAAGACAAGTCATCTCAGCTTCACCTTCTAACTTCTGGAGCCCGGGTTGCCAACATTCAGATTTCAGTGGCTGGAAATCATGCCAGATAAGCACAGACCCAGCAGCCCAGAATGGACTGTCTCTACAGCTCTGGCACATTCTCCACACCACTCAAATGTCCTATAAAATATTAAATCAACCGGACATGGCTGATTTAATGGTACAAAAAGGCTTTATAAAAATATTCCCTGCACTTAAAAAAAAAAAAAAAAGATGCATGTAAACATCGCCTCTAAGTCACCGGAGAACTCTTGAGCGTTTTCATCTCATCTTTCCAACGTTTTGCAGTTCTCCTTGTTCAGCTTTTCTTGGAGGTATCAATCTGTTTTTTTCTTATTAACAGAGTTCAGAGTCTGCGGCTGCCTTTGAATATGAGCTTGTGGTTTGATTGGCAGAAATAGTATTATCAGGAGACTTATGATGTGTAAATAAAAGTACATGGACCTAGGAATAAAAACACACAAAAATTATATTTCAAACAAGGATACAAATGAGAAAGGTCACATGAACGTGATGGCACTGCTTACGGCAGCAGTGGACGTGTTTGTCCTCGGACTAGCCTTGATCCACAGCACAGGTAACTCCTTTGCTGGGTGAGTGGGCCAGGGATGGACCGAAACCACAAAACTGGCAGAGCAAACCAACCAGCTGTCTATGGATAGATGTGTGATATTGTCCCACTGACATAATAAGCAGAGCAAGAGCATTAACCCCACCACAGCCAGCAACCACCCATGTTCAAAGTCTAAGAACGCCCAGGACCCAACTCAAACCTATACTCTGTTCCCCAAACACAAATGCAACTGACACTTTGACCAATATGCTCTACTCAAGTGTAAGGAGTTCTTCTTGTGTGTATTTGGAGCCAGAAGAATCCAGATTTTCAAAACCTACTCTATAACTCTGAAAATAACTTTCATCCAAACTAAAAGAAACAAGCTTTGCTTTTGAGGCTTGTGGCCTTTTCCAGCATTAGTGTGACATTCAGCACACTGGGTACAACGTAGACTTGCAATAAATACTGGGCATATCAGTAAATGCAAGTAACTAGGAACAGCTTGCAGTTGTACAACTGTTCTAGAACCATTTGGAAAAGCTGAACTTATACTTTCCCAGTGCCTTTTTGAAGAATAAGGAAAATAATGTTAAAAGGGGGGGGAACCCACAATTGGTTTATGGATCATTCTCCAGCTTCTGTGATCATAAGGTCAGGCGCATTAGAATCAGATAACTCACACATGCCCTAAACTTCCCCACCCTTTAGCAAGAGGAACAGCTCCTGGAAGATGTCTACAGAACAGTCAAGAGCTCCAACAGAAGCAAACAGAGCTTTACTCATTTATTCTTTCAATAAGCATTTACTGCTTAGAATGTACAAAGCATTACACTGGAATCTACAAAAAGACAAAGCCCCTCCCCCTTTTCTTGAGAATGGAAAAGAAGACTAGCACAAGAGTAATGGTAATTTAACCCACAGAGGGGTGAAGAGCCACAGGCGAGTGACCATCGAATGTACTGTCTAAACCAGGACATTACTGAGAGAGAAAAAGAGCTCTACAGACAAACACGCTGGCTCAACAGGTGTAGACTGGGATTCTCCAGGCACACCCCAGCCGTAGGTAACCCCAAAGTCTGCTCACCTAAAGTATACTTTGTTCTTGCACTATTTTGCCTTCATCGTTCATATGTGGCCAAGTCTACACTGGAGCAATTATGTTAAAGTCAAATATTTTGAAAAATCAAAAAAATTTCAGTCCCCTAGTGAGGCATAGTAACCTATTCTGCCAATCTATATTTCTCTAAAATTTTAAGGAATACTTGATCTTTTTATTATGGAAAAACTCAACTAACATTGATTGGGCGTGCTAGGACCGACCTACGTACTCCAGATACACAGATAAATAAATCATAGTTCCTACTCTCAAGCAGTCTGCTACCTACACAAATTTCTACACCAATTCTAAGATTCTTAAAACATTGAATTTAAGAAAGTGTTATCTAGTTAAAGACAAATTAATATATGAGGATTTGCTTTTCAAAATGATTTCATAGAAAGGTTCTGCTATGGACTGAATGTTTGTGTCCCCCCAAAATTGATATGTTGAAGCCCTAACTCCCAGTGTTGATGGTATTTGGAGGAGTAAGCTTTGGGAGGTAATTTGGTTTAGAAGGGGCCATGAGAGTGGGGCCTCCACGATGGGATTAGTGACCTTAGAAGAGGAGAAAGAAACCAGACTGAACACACGCTGTCTCTCTGTGTCTCTATCTCTTCTCCCCTCTCTCTGTCTCACTGTCTCTTCCTGTCTGTGTCTGTATCTTTCTCCCACTTGTTTCTCTCTCCCCATCTCTCTGTCCCTCTCTCACTCTCTCTCTCTGTCTCTCTGCCATGTGAGGACACAGTGAGAAGAAGCCTTCTGTAAGCCAGGAAGAGAGCTCTCACCAGAAACAGAATCTGCTGGCACCTTGGCCTTCCCAGGCTCCACAACTGTGAGAAATAAATGTTAAGTCATCCAACCTACAGTATTGAGTCATAGCAGCCAAAGCTGACTAAGGTTCTTTCATAATACATTTCAATGTTCACTTGGGGCTCATTTACAACTTAAAGAAAATAAATTAGACTGAGAAATTTAAAGCTGAGATTTGAAGTCACTCTAGATCAAAAACAAACTAGACATAAAAATGAGGCACATCTGAAATTTAAATGTTCAGCAGTGGAGGATACACAGAGAAATGGATATGCATACAACTGTCGTTCACTGCCAGGGACTGAAATTAGCCCCACGTGGGGAACAGATCTGGAATGCAGCCCGACCCACCTCCACTAAAAGACCATGCAATTTTAATTTATTTTGCCAGATTCTGTAATTCTCTTAAGAGATTCTGAAAACACAGTTTTTGAGATGCAATCTATAATAGCCATTGGCAACATGTGGCTGCTAACATTCAAATTAATTAAAATTAGATAAAATTGGAATTTCAGTTCCTCAGTCACAGTTGCCAGATTTCAAACATTCCATGGCTACATGTGCTGGTGCCTCACCTATGGGACAGCATTTCCATCACTGTAGAAATTTCTATTGGACAGGGCTGATCTAGATAAGGAATTTAAATTATATATATAAGCAACTATAATAACGAGATAACACATTAGGTTGAATCATCTGAAATTGACAAAATTGACAGAAATGTCGATTTCACCCTAAACAATTTGTTTGTGGAAAGAAACGGAAATCTACTTACACATGATCTGGATTGATAACTATTTGATTCTTCCCCTAGAGCTCCTGCCTAAGTGTAGGAATTAACATACTTTAGTTGGTTAAAGGCATGTCATCCTAAACAAACCATCACTTAGTATGATCCCTAAGCCTTATTTTTCTTCCACAACAGCTTCTCCTAAAGAAATTTTTAGTAACTGTACTATTGATTTTACTGTTAAAGGAACCGTGAGTCTAAAATTCGGGTGCACACTAGCACTTACTTACTGTGTGAGTTTTGTTAAATTACTCACCCTCTCTGAGCCTCCACATCCTCATATGATAAACAGGGATACCGATACCTAACACCTCTCTCTTCTCAGCTCACCACTTTCTACCTTGATTCTACGTTCTGCCCATACTCATGTCTCTAAGGTCTTCAGTGCACGAAGCATCCTCCTATCATGAGGGGGCTTTGCTATTCTGTTCCCTGTGTCTGGAAGCACAGCCCGCAGTGCTCCACCTGCTCACCACCCTCACACATGCTGTGCCTGCTTCACTCCCACTCTGCAGCCTCCAGGACTTATCGCAAATGCCACTTCCTCCCAAAAGCCCCCCCTCGATGCCAGTCTTATTCCTGTTACACGCTCTCTTAAATCTTTGTACCATTCACTCAGAGTACGATTTCAGTGTGTATTTATAAATTTGTCAGTTGTTATTGCCTGTCTCTTCCATCAAGCTATCCCCTGCATGGGAGCAAGAATGAGTTCTATATTTTGCTCACCATTCTATCCTCTAGCTTCTAGAACAGTGCCCAGCACACTGCAGGTATTAAATGGTACTGAGTCGAAGACAGGCATTTCTGCTGTAACATGATGCATATATTCCTGAAAAATCTTGCATTTGGCAATATCATGTGCTTAAAATACACAGGCTTATGGGGCATGGGGATCATGTTAGAAGCAGACAAATCAAAACCTCTGAGACTTTGTAACTACAGCACTAACAAAAAACAATTAGCACCTAAGCCAACAACTTGGCCAGCCCAGGCAGATGGCTTGATGAGGGTAACAGCTGCTTCAGGGGGTGGCAGACAATGAAGGATAAATGCTGGCTGGAGGGTGCTGAGACAAGGGGGAGGAAAATGGACCTGTGAGCAACTGGGGCTGCCCTAAGGCTGGGCACAGAGGAGATAAACCCAGCTGAGGGCCAGGAGGTGCAGGCTTTGGGGCGGGGGGTGCCTCTTAGAAGAGGGAGCCCAGGGCTGGCCCCGTGGCTTAGCGGTTAAGTGCGCGCGCTCTGCTGCTGGTGGCCCGGGTTCGGATCCC